GTTTCTGTGTGTGTGTGTGTGTGTGTGTGTGTTCCTCTGAGCCTGTATTCATATCTTTGTGGGGACACATGTTAGAGACGCTGTGGTTTTAGTGGGTTAGGGTGGTTTGGGGTAAACGACCTGTAGGGACGGTACTGATACGATGTTCACGATTCTGATTCCATTTTCGATTCTTTATCGATTCTTTAAAAAGGAGAACACTCGATTAGCTCAGAGCTTTGTTTTCTATCTTCTCTTTGAACAAGATAATGTAGGAGTAACCTCACAAACCCAGCAGTGAGATCTTAACAGATCCAGCCTGCGGCTCTTCACTGGGTCACAGGAAAAACTGTAAATGTAAAATGTACAAAGAAAAATGTTTTTCTGGAGGTTTCTGATTGGACGGCGCGCTGCGATCTACCTGCTGGTTTTTCTGGACTAACACAAGATGCTGACACAGCTGATTTCTAGATAACTTTTGCTGCGAGGAAACAGCGTGGTGTGGACGTCACATAACGTCAGTTGCGAGAAAGAGAAAGCACGCCACCGAAGCTCGCCACGTGCCGAAATGCCACGTCCACGTGAGCAGCTCTCTGATTGGCTCAAGCGTGTTTGTTCAGTTTTATTAAAACTCTGATTTGATTCAGGTGACCTTAACGTACAGGTGTCGTGAAGGGGGCGTCACCTACAGACACCAGTTTGCGTCTCTGGCAGGAAGCGCGTTTGGCGGCGGGTCGGACTCACCTCGCCCGTTATCCTGGATTTTGGAGAGGACCTGGGCGTAGGTCACGGACTCCTCCACGAACACGCTTTCCTCCACGCTGATGTTGATGTTGCTCAGCTCCATGTACAGACCCTCGATGGCGAAGTAGCACGGCCGGTCGTCCTTCTTGTTGTCGCTGAAGACGACCATCACCTGTTCCCGCCACCCGAAATGCTCGCAGATCCGCACCGCGAACCGCCCGAGCTTCTTGTGCGTCGGCCCCGTGTTGGTGATGGACAGGTACGTCCCGCTGGAAAACGCCACGGCCGGGGCGCCTGCCGTCACCATGGGGACGCTCCAGTGGGTGGTGAAGAGGCCGACGGGGGAGGAGCTGTAGGAGCAGCCGGGCCCGATGAACGCCCACGGGTTGTAGGCGAGTTTCAGGTCCACCGCCATGAGCGGGGCGACGGACTCGGAGCACATGCCATTCTTGTCCTGGCTGTTCTTGAAGAAGTACACGAGGCGATGGTTGGGCAGGAGGGTGGGGTCGGCGTTGATGTTCCTGACGGCCCGGTCCACGGCAGGGCCGATGCGAGGCCACGCCCACGGGTATCTGGTGTTGTTCTCTGGTAAAATGACAGCCAGCGTGATGTTCTGGAGGCGTTCGTGGTCATGCTGGGTTTGACCCGGGCCGTGAGTTCGGGCCTCCGCCGGCAGGCTGAGCAGAACCGGCAGAGCCAGCAGGAGGGTGGCGCCTTCCTTCCAACGGGCCATGCTCCGCCCACAGGTGGTCCACGTCCACCGCAGCAGGGTAACTGAGCGCCGCGAGCTGCAGAGACACAACAGAGACACAACAGAGGCGTTAGCCAGACCTGAGGTGTGAAACTCGCTGCAAGCAAAGCCTAATCACATGCTGAGCACAGCGCGAGCTACGTCACGCCTCGCTCCAACAATCTGCTCCGTCAGTCCTTACAGGCCTCGCCGAGGCCCCTCGCTGAGGCGGGGGAGACAAACTCCCCTCCACCCTCTAAACAAACAAGATGAAGCCGCCGTGATGTCAGACAAATACGCGCCATCGGTCGGCCTCATGAGCGCCAGACCTGCCTGTGCTAAAGTGAGACCGCATTGAACCTCCATACGTAAGTTATTTATACAGCACTTTAAAAACAACACATGGCTGACAGCAGAGATATTAAAATACAATAAGAATAATAAATAAACAACAATAAGAGTGTCAGTGACCCACTGAGTCAAAGGCCAGCGAATAAAAATGAGTTTTGAACCAGCACTGATGAGCAGAGGAAGCTTCGGGGCCACAGCAGCGGACGCTCGTTTCAGCCGTGATTTAGGAGCAACAGCTGCTCAGCTGAACACTGCAGGAAGAACACGCTCCTCATCGCCTCGTTCACACACACTCAGGGTATCGATGTCGGGCACACAGACCGGGGCAGCCAGGGTTCGAACCACCAACCTTCTGATCAGTGGATGCTGAAGCTCCTGAGACACAGCCGCCCCTAAAACAACCTGAACGTGGAGCAGCTCAGGGCGTCAGACACACTGTGGATGTGGGTGATGGTGGGTGGATGATGGTGATCGTGGGTGGATGTGGGTGATGGGTTCGTGCTCGTCTCCCAGTGCAGCTTTCAGCACAGAGACAGGCTCGGAGGTGCCACTCTGCCACGCCAGTTGCTCATCCTGCAGCTGTGACCGCGTGCACGCGGGATCACCTGCGGGCACGTTGGCACTAACGGGCTTCCATACACGCCTGAAAGCGTCTGCGCCCGCGGACCGCAGCTGTCCGTCCTCGGGCTTCCTGAACTTTGCCCCCGGAGGAAAGTGTGTCTGCAAACTTTAACGCTGTAAAAACACGTTCAGAGATAAAAACACGGAACTTCAGCACACTTACATTCAGCGCGTTCACGTGCGCAGCCGCGACCCTCGGTGCGCGCAGATCAGCT